CCTCACCCAGCGGCGGCTCCGATTTCAGAGCGCTGCAGTCTTTACAGAAGAGCCTGCTGAGCGCCTGGCCCGGGTGTTTGCTGCAGAGGGCGTCTAGACCAATCAGAGTGCTGTTCAGTGCGACGCTGCTCTGCTCCGCGACGACGGTGCTTTCTGCAGACAGACACAAGGACATGATGACTCATCGTGTCCCCTTATCAAAGCCTTTACGAGTCAGACGCAGGCAGGCGGGGGCGCAGGCGGGCGGGGGCGCAGGCTCACCTTTGGAATCCGAGTCGTGGTCCAAACCTGAGGAGGAAGAGCAACGTTAAACTGAGTCTGCCTCGGGCGGAGCAGGTGCGTCCAACAAGGCTCAACACAGCAGGCTAAACTGAACCCAGATCATTTCCTTCGACTGAAAACATCAGACCAAAGTAATCAAAGAATATTGAATCTGTGGATCTGATGACCTGCGCTGTTGCCATGGTAAAGCGCTCTGTAAACAGAGGTCATCATAAATCTATGAGGCGGCGTCGTACCCCAGAACGCATCGACCCGCGTTTGCTCCTGGATGCAGGACTCGTTCTGCAGGGAGGAGAGCAGGGAGGCGTCGGACGCCACGCTGCGGAGGCTGCTGTTGTGGATGATGATGGTCGGTTTATGCGGCGCATCGAGGAGCGACTCGGAGCAGGAGACCGAGTGCTGCTGGGAACGACGGGACCTCAGCGACCTGCAGGAGGAGGCAGGAGGTGAAGGAGGAGCCAACCTGAACAGAACGCACCTTCAGCAGACGTCCACACCGACCTGCCGCTCCTCCAGTCGCCTCCTCCCGCACTAAAGGAAGCGCTGCCACGAGGAAGACTGCGGTCCAGCAGGCCTTCATCGAGCCGCAGGCTGCGTCTCGACATGACCCTCGCCCGAAGGAAGGAGGCGACCTGCTGCTCCTTCTCAGAGTCCGACGAGGAGTAGGTGGAGCTGAGGAGACAGGCGTGGAAGATGAGCAGGAAGAGGAAGAGGCGTGGTCCTTTATGGAAACAAAGTCTGAAAATGTTACAATTTAAATAACCTGATCGAATAAAGCTGCAAAACCATTTTAACAGGATATAGTAAGAAATATATTTTTACATCATGGATAAAAGAATTAGATGCAAAGTAAGCTTTTAAAATGTCAGAGGACACGATGAGAAAACACCGAAACTTGCCAGGAACGTTTTTTTCAAACATAAAGAGGAAAGAAATCTGATTAAAAGTCTACAATTAAAAAAAACAAACTTCTGTAAAATTATACAGAAGTTTGTTTATGTCAGTGATGATGTATGAATCTCATCAATAATCCACACACACAGAAGACGACAGATGGAACAACACTTCCCAAATATGATTCCAACAGGTTTCTCCAGCAGGTTGTAATTTTACAATCAGAGTCTCACTAAGTCAGCCATAAAATGCAGTTTAATAAAATTAAAAACGTTAAAGTTTGCAGCATGTACGGAGGAATGTTATTAGTATTCCGAGCCGCATTTCCTGTGATATGGAGGCAGATGGATGGAGGTCTGTGGTCGTGTTGAGCAGACGAACAGCGAGCTGCAGACACTCGTTTCCTTCATTAAACTCTGAATTAAAAGCAGCTTCAGCTTAATGATTAAACTCAAGTCCTGAAACACTTGTTAACCTGCAGACACGCTGCAGCAACTCAGCAGAAACACAGAGAC